TTTTCGTGCTGTGACAGATCTCGTTGCTGACGTAACAAACGACGCTGCCTGGGTCAAAGCATATCGACGGTGGGAGCCCACTCGATCGGCCTTCATCTCCCAAATCAAGGGGAACTAGGATGACTTCTACCGCGTCGAGAAACAAGTACATGAGACTGTCACCAATGAACACGACGACATCGATATCTTGGACGAAAACGACGATGTCACGGAAACTCGCCACGAAATCGAAGCAATGGTCGATGGAAGCGAGTCCATATGCGAGGACTCTTCAGATGACCAGTTTGACGCATGCGTGATGGGGGACGAGCTCCCAGTTTTTCAGACAACCACGCGACCTACTGTGTCCGCTGTCTCCTCGACAACTATGTACCACTCATTGCTGACGCCGGTTGCCGAGACAGCAGCCAGCAAATTTGGCACACTGCCCCAAGCACCGACATTTACTCTTGAGGAGCTCAACCGATACATCGAGTCGTCCGCGACAGACGAATCAGATCTGTCCAAGCATTTCCAACGAGAGAGACCAACCGAAGTCGTCGAGTTGCTTTCAAAAGCTCTTGACCCAGCTGCTGCGATATGGGTTCCAAGTGATCGACAACACCAAGGGGATATTAATTATTACGCAACAATTACCGAGGTGTCACGCGCGTTTACTCTCAATCAACGGCAGCACGCCGCATTCACAATCATCGCGACTGCACTGCTACAAACGTTTCTGCGGCAGGAGCAGTCTGGCATAGAACTCGTCACCGGTGTCGCGAGTGACCAGAGTAGACATGACTTTGAAGCGAAGCTCAGAGACGAGCAGCTGCTCATGTTTCTTGGTGGTGCTGGTGGAACGGGCAAAAGCTGCGTTATCAACGCAGTCAGCTCGTTCTGTATGAGCTGGCATCGTGAAGCCTCGCTGACGAAGACAGCACTTACAGGAAAGGCTGCTACTCTGATTGGCGCGCGGACCTTGGCGAGCTTCCTCATGCGAATCAAGCATGCGATCCAAGATAAATCGTTCTCGACACTGGACGCGCTTGTCATCGATGAAGTATCGATGTTATCGAAACCCGAGTGGTTGAAACTGGATAAGCTATTGCGCAGATACAAGCAAGTACCCAATGTACCATTC